ATTTTCTACATCTTCTATGAGTTTGAATAATTTAAGGTCTGTAGAAGATCATTTGATGATTAAATATTTACGGAATGTTAGTTGTCCACACAGATAGAAAGATAAAAGCTTTTAAAGTTGATTCTTAGAGAGTTTTTAAATTATTAACAAACTCAAGGAAAATAAGAGATAAGAAAAGCAAAAGGACTGTGTCCATTATGAATTACATAGGTATTTACCATTAGCTAACTTTGTTTTTGTCCATAATCATGAAAGAAACAGGTTATTGAAGGGGTGGGGCTCATATCTGGCATTTGAACTAATATATTTTATTTAGTTAAGATATAATTAACTGTTAAAGACCATGAGATATAAACTGAATATTGGACAAATATGTGAGAAATACAAGATGTAAAATAAATCCCTTTCATCCAAGAGGATCTAATAGTGACACACACAGAAACGTATATAGGACAGTTACTATGGTGCTATGTGATAAATTCTGGAAGAGATAACTAAAGGATTCAGAAACACTGATAAAAGAGCACAAAATAACCTGAGGTACATGTGGGGAAAGATATTCTGAGAGAAAATAGCAGAGGGTATAAGTATCCATGTAAAATCAGTGATTTTTTTTTAGGTTGATTAATCTTTAGATATTTAATTTATTCCAAGAAGAAATAAAGACAATGACTTCATTGGCATAGTAAAAAAATAAGAGAAATAGGGGCGCCTGGGTGGCTCAGTCATTAAGCATCTGCCTTAGGCTCAGGTCATGATCTCAGGGTCCTGGGATTGAGGCCCACATCGGGCTCCCTGCTTGGCGGGGGGCCTGCTTCTCTCTCTCCCTGTCTGCCTGCTTGTGTTCCCTCTCTCACTATGTCTTTATCTGCCAGAATAAATAAAATCTTTAAAAAAAATAAAAATAAAAAAATAAAGAGAAATGGTCTTATTAAAAATATTTTCATCACAAACTTTTTCGTTTGTCAACTTGTCAAGGCCCTTGAGTATATCACTTCTGTTTTCAATAGGGTCTATTAAATGATATTTATTTTTGTGATAGTGTTATTTATTTTTTCATAAATTGTTATGAATTTATATACTTTAGTTCATGATAGTAATCTTTATCTTTTCCTTATATAGCCTTCCATTAAAACGATGTATACACCATTGTATTATCTGTACCCTGTAGGTGTTTAATATTTATTAAAACAATGAATCAATGTCTCAACATTAATTTAATGAAACTGGATTTCTATATGAGAATTCTTTTGATTACAAGTGACAAAAATTAAAAAAAACTAGCTCAGGATAAGAAGATATTTATTGCAAATTGAATCACATTATTGGGAAGTCCATTGATAGATTTGATTATATCTAAATAGATTTGCAGTTGAACCATTGGCAATCCTTCTTTCCTTTTCTCCTCCCCTCTTCTCTAGTCCTTTTGTCTTTCCTCTCTTTCTCTCTCAGCTCTTCTCTATTTTTTTCTTTTTTTAAAGATTTTATTTATTTATTTGAGAGAGAGAGAATGAGAGAGAGAGCACAAGAGGGAAGAGGGTCAGAGGGAGAAGCAGACTCCCTGCCAAGCAGGGAGCCCGATGTGGGACTCGATCCCGGGACTCCAGGACCACGACCTGAGCCGAAGGCAGTCGCTTAACCGACTGAGCCACCCAGGCGCCCCAGCTCTACTCTATTTTTATTGTCTTTATTTTCTGTTGGGAAGGCCCCTAGGGCAAAAAAGAAGGCCTCCAGAAACTTGATATCAAACTGGTCTTTAGAGCTGAGGAATTCCTCAGTAACAACATAGTATAGTGTATCTTGTTAAATTTATCTTCTAACTCTTTAGAAAGAGTCTGGACAAGAGTCATCAGGCGGTAAGTGGGCAAGGCAGAATAATATATAGTCTTATCAGAACATGGAATAGAGAGAAGCAATTCCCTAATGGAAAGATGAATGCTGGTTGGATTGTCTTTAATCACTTATTTATTATATTTTTTTACAAGATTCACTACCTGAGAGATGCAGTGAGGTCTGATTATATAAATTTGTCATCACAGGAAATTAATTACCCAGCCCACCAATATGGGAAAAGAAAAAGAAACTACTGACTCTGAGGAACAGCTAACTCATGATCGTCTGCACCCCTATCACCTGAGGCTGGGTTCCTCCTGATTGCAGCAAACACTAGAGATTATTTTTATTTTTTCTCTAGCACGTAAAATTATCCACAGAGCGAGCCCCTAATTCTTCCCTAATGGTCTCTATTGTGGAATATTAAATAAATTTAATATCTCAGGTGCAATACATCTTCTGAAGTGGAACTGTGAATTTTATGCAGTCTCAGACAACACAAATATGGTCAGGATTTTTGCAAAATCTTGCAGTCTGAATGAGTGTGAGTATGGAGCTGAAAATGCCTCCAGAATATGTGCATTCTTGTGTACCAGTTATTAATTTAGTCAGGCACCGTTAGCCAGACAGACCATTAGCCAACCAGCCTCTGAGCCCGTGCATCACGCACCCATGCAACCGGTCACCCTTTAATCAGACACTTAGCTAGTCAGCTGGCCTTCATGCAGATAGTCAACCAGTCAGCCTGCAAGTTAACTAGTCAGTCTGCCAGGCAGCTAGTCAACCAACCAATGAACCTTTGAGCCAGGGAATGACTGACCAAGTCAGTAAGCCTTTTCTTTCAGCCTGGCAGCCAGGCATCCAAATCTTTTGCTAATTTATCAGCTGTGAGCCAGTCATTCCTCAAATCTAGCTATAGAGGTGTCCAGTTTTTTAGCTTTGTTTGGCTTTTAGTATTGCTCTGGTTTACTGCTTACTCTCTCAATAATTTTATTCATCATGAGCAAACTGAATTATTTCATTATGGATTTTCCAACTAGACAGGATACTTAAGACTGCACAATGCTGATAATCAGAAGAGAATGTACTATAAAATGTTAATAGAGTCAGCAGGTTTGCAGAAGCCATGCCAACATATTTAGAAGAATATTCACATTTTAGGAAGATATATTATTGACAAAATAAAGGAGTAATAGTTATAGAATTGTCATGTTTTAAATTTTGTAATTAACAAGTCTCTCAGGTGTTCCATTTATGTAGTATTTTGTAAATAACTTTAATATTTTAAAAATAAAACAGATTTACTTTTCAGGTATTATAAAGTTAAGGATTTCAGGTAATCCAAATATATCTTCCTCAGTTATTTCAAATGAGTCTGTTTCCCTCTATTGAAAAAGAAAAGTAAATTCAATGTTTACTCTTAAATTTACTCATTCTACAAATTCATTTGTATACTGCATAACAGATGGTGTTCCAAAGTTCAAAGTTTAAAGACAAAAAAACAAAATACACAACAACTCTGCTTTGAAGGAATCCATAGGCTTTGACATAGGTGAAAACAAACACTTAACTCAATAAGGGTCTAATCCTAACAAGTACAAAGTTTTATGTGATCACGCAGGGGTGTTTCCAGAGAATAGGATGACGTTAAGGTGAGTTTTGAGGAGAAGCAGAAGCAAGTTAGGTCCTATACGCATATCTTGTTCTTGGATGAACTTCATCCTGAAAGTTACAGAGTTACACAATCCCTGGAAGGATTGTGCCTGAGAGCAGGGATTCTGTGCCCATCAAGCAATGACATTCTGCATGACTGCTCTTATATTCTTGGACAGCACTCTTCAAACTTTTTTGTTCATGAATTTCCAAAAGGATTATGAAAACCTCAACTCTCTCAAATATTTAAATAGGCATATAACATTTAACCTTAGGTGTGGATAGTTGTAAATGTTTTAGTTCCTGGCACACATTAAATGGTGAAAATTTTAAAATAAGACACATAGGTCATTCTTATAAATATATTCCAAGGAAATGGAAGTTGATAACCACTCTTTTGGAGTCATGGACCCAATTTCAATGTGTGAAGGAGGGTTTCCCACATCCCCAGCAAGCCATTCTCAGACATCAGCTGGGTATCCTAAAATTCAACTCAATTTTTATAGTATCTACCTGGACCTAGCATCAGATCCCATGAGTAAATGACTCAGTCCCACACAACCACCCACGCATAACTCTGTCCATCTCCCACCCCACTTTATTTTTATTTTTTTTAAGATTTTATTTATTTGACAGAGAGACACAGCAAGAGAGGGAACACAATTAGGGGGAGTGGGAGAGGGAGAAGCAGGCTTCCCGTGGAGCAGGGAGCCCGATGCGGGGCTCGATCCCAGGGCCCTGGGATCATGACCTGAACCGAAGGCAGATGCTTAACGACTGAGCCACCCAGGCGCCCTCCCACCCCATTTTAGATGCCAGTCACAAACCCAGGTGTCACCTATGCTTCTGACCTACTGGCTATAGATCAGAGGTTCCCATGACCCCTCTCCTCAGGTTCTATTAATTTGCTACAGCAGCTCACAGAATTCAGAGAAACATTTTTCCTACTAGATTACTGGTTTATTATAAAAGGATATAATTCAGGAATGCCAGATGGAAGAGATGCACAAGACAAGGTATGAGGAAAGGGTGCGACGCTTTCATGCCCTTTCCAGGGCCACCCCTCTTCCCACATCCACGTGTTCACCAACCTGGAACTTTCCAGTCTGTCCTTTTAGAATTTTATGAAGACTTTACATGGGCATGGTTGATAAAATAATTGACCATGAAGATGGAGGGTGGGACCGGATATTCCAACCCTCTAATCGTAGGGTTGTTTCCCCTGTGCACAGTCACTCATCCTTAAGGGAGGTCTAAAATTTACCTCATAACGTAACAAGAGGCTTTATTACTCTCCACACTTAGGAAATTCCAAGTGCCTTAGGAACTCTATGCCAGAAATGGGGACAAAGACCAAATATATACAGTTGTCCCTCTTATCCGTGGTTTCGCTTTCACAGTTTCAGCTCCCGCGGTCAACCACTATCTGGAAGCGGAAAATTCTCCTGACGAATCATCAGAAGGTCAATAGCAACCTAAATCTACATCACCAAGCCTACGTCACAAAGCTGCGTCATTTACCTCGCTTCATTTCGTCAGGCAGGCAACTTATCTCGCAGCTCGGGAAGTAGAGGGTGAGTACAGTGCAGGAAGGTATTTTTAGAGAGTGAGATCACATTCACATAAACTTTTAATATAGTGTGGTGTTATAATTGTATGTTATTATTAGTTACTGTTGTTAATTTTTTACCCTCTGTAATTTCTAAATTAGGCTTTATCATAGGTATGGATATATAGGATAAAACAGTACGTGCAGGATACTGTAAATCCAGTAGTGTCCATAGTTTCACTGGGGGTCTTCGAACATATACCCCTTAGATAAGGGGGGACTACTGTATTTCTTATTATAAATCACAATATTGTAACATCATTTTATAAATTTGCAAGATTTTTTTTTCTAACAGATTTTATAGCCCTTTTCTTTTTTTCTCTTAATTTTCTTTTAAGATTTTATTTATTTGAGAGAGAGAGAGACACAGCGAGAGAGGGAACACAAGTGGGGGGGGTGGGAGAGGGAGAAGCTTGGCTCCCGCGCAGCAGGGAGCCCCGTGCGGGACTCCATCCCAGGGCCCTGGGATCATGACCCGAACCAAAGGCAGATGCCCAAGGACTGAGCCACCCAGGTGCCCCTGGCCCTTTCTTCTACTTGAACTCTTATTTCACTACCTTTATTCTAATGTAATTGTTTATCCCTGAAAGTGTCTTATTTTTTTTTTTACCTTACCACACTTTATAATGTGTTTTTATTTTTATTTTTTAATTTTTTTAAAGATTTTTATTTATTTAACAGAGATAGAGAGCACAAATAGGCAGAGCGGCAGACAGAGGGAGCGGGAGAAGCAGGCTCTCCGCGGAGCAGGGAGCCGAATGCCGGGTTTGATCCCAGGACCCTGGGGTCATGACCTGAGCCAAAGGCAGACGCTTAATGACTGAGCCACCCAGACGCCCCTATAATGCGTTTTTAAAAAATTTATAATTTATGCATTAAAATACATTTTATATTATAGGGTCTGGTAGCTGATAGTCTCTAAATATTTAAAATTAATTGGATTAGTATTATATTGTAATTAATATTAGTATAATTTGCAATCAACTTATTAATTGTATATATATATTTTTTCTAAATTGGATTCTTAATGTGAAAGGGACTTTTTATCAATTAGAGCATTTATTCACAGAATAATATTTCTTATTAGTAGAGTGAGAAAGAGAAACCAACACCAGTTACATCTTTTTTTTTTTTTTAAACTAAGATAACTTCTGAGTACTCCATGTACACAGATAAGTAGAAGGGAATAAAAAGTTTTGTCATGTAAAAATCACTCAGTGCTGTAAACCCCTTCCAAGCTGCAATTCAAAAAAATTCACAATTCTCCATCACCAAGGTGTTTTCAGTGATCTGTCAGTAGACATCTCCATTATGTCACCTATAATTTTGTTGAAGAAAAGTACTGAAAACCGTCTGACTTGCAAACAAATTTATTTCCTAGCCAGTGGAGTCATTATTTTCCTTAATTTCTGGGAATTACATAAAAAAAAGCTTTACTAAGCCTTATCAGGTTATTAACTCTGTTTTTCATCAACTTAGAGGCACCTTGTTTATCCTTATATAACCTGAGAGAATTGAAAAGCATGTACCATTAACTTAAAGCATCTTTGCCAATATTGCATGAATATCAGTACACATATACCATTACTTTTGTACAGAAGCATAACTTACATGCATTGAAGTGTACTAAAGTTATATATTTTTGTACCCTTCACTTCTGACCTCTTATTCCATTCTCTAAAAATAACACTGAAGTTCAGTGAGGAAGGCCTTTTCAATAAATGGTGCTGGGTCAATGGAAAATTATATGAGAGGGGCGCCTGGGTGGCTCAGTTGGTTAAGCAACTGCCTTCGACTCAGGTCATGATCCTGGAGTCCCGGGATTGAGTCCCACATCGGGCTCCCTGCTCAGCGGGGAGTCTGCTTCTCCCTCTGAACATCCCCCCCCCATGCTCTATCTCTTTTTCATTCTCTCTCTCTCAAATAAATAAATAAAATCTTAAAAAAAAAAAGAAAATTATATGAGCAAGAAAAAAATCTCTGTTGGAGCACGTCTTTGAGAGGACATAACCGCTTGTTGACCTGAGTGCAGGACTTGGGCAATAAAAGGCTCCTTGGTCCTCTCCCCTGTCCTTGGAATATATATTCCACCAGCCGTCTCCATAGCAAGAGCTGGTTCAAGGACATAGCCTTGAGGTCATCTGGACTGAATCCGTAACCCAAACCTTGTTACGCTTCTGTATAAGCTCTTAAGATTCCAGCCAGCAGAAGGGGAGATCTGCTTGTCTTGTGGCCACTCAAAACAAGCCTCCTGTGTAAATTCCTTTGCTTATTAAACCCTCCACGTGCCAAGTGGGGAGGTCTGCCTCTTTTTTCAGTCTCTCCTTACCCTCCATGTGGGGGTAGGGGAGCAGTTTGAGAACCCTCAGCCACACATTATTAACAAATAGCAATTCCATGTCTATTGTAGAACTAAATATGAAAGGGATAACCATAAGAGAATATCATTATTTCTTCAAAGCAGGCAATTTAAAAAACAAACAAACAAACAAACAAACAGGACCATAACAGTGCTAAATATTAAAGAAGTAAATGTGTGTAATAGATTATATTAAAATTGAGAACTTCACTTATCCAAAGGATCCATTAAGAGAGTGACAAAACAACCCAATAGAATGACAGAAGGTATTCACATTATGAATCTTATATTCAGAATATATAAAAGAACACTTACTAATCAATCAGGAAAAAACCAGATGATCCAGTTGTAAAGTAGGAATAACACTCTAGGCATGCATTTCACACACATGGAGATTCAAAGGGCTAAGGAGTCTAGCTAGGAAAGGTCATCAGCCTCATCAGTCACCAGGGAAATGCATATCAAAACCACAATGTGATAGCACCTTCCACCTACCAGAAAAGCTGTATGATGAACCAGGCAGACAGTACTAAATATTGGTAACGATGAGGGGCATTAACCATTCTGATACAGTGACTTTGTACAACTCTTCGGCAGTTACTTACAAAGCTAAGCATATCCGATGACCCAGAAATTCCACACTTAGTTATAGACTCAATTGTATTACAGTATTATTTATTTGAAATACTTTCCTTTGCACTTTGGATTAGTTTGATGATTTTGTTGTAAATCAAGCGACTGTATTTGTATGTGTTCCAAAACCAGTGCGATGCTTATTTTGAGGGCGTGGAGTAGGGGAGGGCATCGGGAAGGGCGCCAGAACAGGTGCGCCTCCAGAAGAGGTGGGCTCCAGGCAGGCGGGCAGCAGGGGCAGTTTCGGGAGAGGGAGCACCCCTGGGCTAAATTACTCCTGGGAGCCAAAAGCAGCCATGGAGGGAAAAGCAGGCTGGTGCACAGCGCTGGTGTCACTACCTCCACCCATACTTTCTTAATTATTGTATATCTACACAAGATATTAAAATCAGGTAATGTATGGTGATTAACATAATAAAAAAAATCAGGTACTGTAAGCCCTTGAATTATTTGCTCTTCAAGAGTGTCCTGGCTGTTTTCAGAGCATTTCCATATGAAGTTGAGAGTAATCTTTTCAGCTTCTACACACAAATCAACGAAAGCCTTCTTTTCTTTTAATTGGAACTGTCTTGAATCTACAGATAAATTTGGGGAGAATTGAAATCTTAGCAGCTTGGGTCTTCCAATGGAATAGGTCCCTTTTGAGGTTTCTGATGTTTTTAAAATGATACAGTTCCGGATACTGTTTATTACAACTTTGTTAATAACCCTGAATCATAGATTATTTATGAATTCTTCCCAGCTGCCTGTGAAGATTATGGATATAAAATTAACTAATGGCCTTAGAAAACTGAAACTTAGTCTTTCCATTTTTTCATTCTGGATGTTTATGTTTCTTTGCTTTTTTGTTTGTTTTGTTTTATTTTGCATTGTTTTTCTTTTTCTTTTATCATCTGTTCCCATTCAATTTGCCCATCTAAATTCATTAATTGTTCTGATACTAATTTCATACAAAGTAATAGTGGCCCAGAACTAGCCATTAGCATTCCTTCCAGCACTAAGAAACAACCCCTATTTGTGTTTACAGTACAGAGTTATAAATTATATTGAAATATCATTCAGTTAGAGTCATTCTCCAAGATGGTAAAGAGATGGATGGTCTCCAGGGGAGGGTTGTCATAAAAAGGAAAATCAAACCAGCTGAATAATACGATAAGTCTCTGTATAAAGCTAGCTCAGCCAAGCAGGGATATGAAAGGTGGCAGCCTTTGAGGAGATGGCTGACAGATTTCATTTGTTGAGGATCAGATCTTGCCCTGGTGTCACATGTCATATTTTCCCACCACCCTTTTGGTGTTCTACAGGCACCCTCTCCAGGTGCTGTCAGGGGAATACGCGGTGGCTGCCAGTTAAAGGGCAGGCATGTTTAAGTCAAGTGTATAAAAAACAGCCATTTTCTCCTCTCCTGCTGTAAGGTTCATATGGAATCTCTAGTTGATTTACTAATCATATAGAAAGAAAATGAGGCTGGCATAAGTAAGTTTGACTCTTTCTTCCTTCTGTCCCTCCCTTTCTCCCTCCTTCCCTCCCTTCCTTCCTCCCTCCCTCCCTCCCAGCTTCTCTCCCCCTTTCTTCCTCCCTCTCTGCCTTTCTTCTTGTTTTCTTTTCCATTTTTTCTTACCTAATTATTTTTTAGTTCCTCTTTTATTTTTTTTATGTAACTTGCCCTCCCTACCCTAACCTACTTACCTGCTTTCTACTATTCCCTTCTTCCTTATAATTATGGAGTTGTAGAATTCTTCTATAGTTAATATTTTCTGACCCTGATGTGTTTTCATTGTGGGAGGAATCCATCCATAGGTTGTCTAAGACTCATGCTTGCTTCATCAGTTATCTTGAAGAGTCTCCGTGACCTCTTCTTTCACCGTTCCCTTACTCTCTCCTTTCTCTTTTTATGCACATTGTGAGTATGTGTGCGTGTGCATGTGCGTGTGTGTCTTCTTCTTGTCAAGGCATGGTGCTATCTAGGCACCAAGAACTGAAAGATGAGCAAATATTTATTTCTGTCCTAGAGTAGTTCGCCAACTTATTCCTTCAGTTGTCTCTTAGCCTTGACAACTGACAATTTCAATCACTGCGTCAAGAGGGAATCCAAGGCCGTCACAATAAGGACCATACGGAGTTTATTAATAAACCTGAAATAAGGTATTCAGGGCTTTACAGGCTATGTACGAACATATGTATAGGCACTCTGTTTTTTTATTTCTTTTTTTTTAAGATTTTATTTATTTATTTGACAGAGAGAGACACAGTGAGAGAGGGAACACAAGCAGGGGGAGTGGGGGAGGGAGAAGCAGGCCTCCCGCGGAGCTGGGAGCCCGACGCGGGGCTCGATCCCAGGACCCTGGGACCATGACCTGAGCCGAAGGCAGACCCTTAATGGCTGAACCCCCCATGTGCCCTGGCACTCTATTTTTTTTTTAAGATTTTATTTATTTATTTGTCAGAGAGCACAAGCAGGGGGAACGGCAGGGAGAGAAAGAAGCAGGCTCCCCACCGAGCAAGGAGCCCAACGTGGGGCTCTATGCCAGAACCCTGGGCTTATGACCTTAGCCAAAGGCAGCAGCTTAACCAGCTGAGCCACCCAGGTGACCCTGCATAGGCACTTTAAATAAGTTTTATGATTTTTTTTTCCCCAGGGAAACAAAAGAATTTGAGGTTTGGTTTAGTCTAAAATTGATACCTAGGTATCTATATGAGCTCATGATTTTCAGACAATTTCATTCCTGACCCTACCCTGTTCTACTTTCTAGCCTCAACTCAAATACTGACAACATAATTAAAATTCTCAAAATTATTTCAATAAACATGCTTGAGTCTAACAACCAAAAAATAACATGGTAACACTATAAAATGAATTCAGGTATTCTAACCATTTATCCTCATCATACCTAATAAGTACTAGGCACTGTGTGCACTTGCTTATACTCTCTTTCTCTTTCATACACAAACTTATGTACATAGACAAATGCAGAATATATACTATATAAAGTTGTACACTCATCATATGGTTAGTTTGGAGAAATGTAGATGAATGACAATAAATAATGTAGTTTTTAGTTTCCTATATTTTTTAATGATATTTTGTACATTAGAATGGATAATTCCAAATCTTTAATATTGGACCTAGGTTTTAAACAGTACACTGATTTGAGAAAATTGTAGAAACCTTCTGAATAATAAGTTTTCATTCATATTTGTAATAATAATATACTTTATGTGCCTTACAGTTTGATGATCAAAAACATACTTTTAAAAAGTGCTTTGTAGGGGGGTGGGGGGATGGGTTAGCCTGGTGATGGGTATTAAAGAGGGCATGTTGTGTGTGGAGCACTGGGTGTTATGCGCAAACAATGAATCATGGAACACTACATCCAAAACTAATGATGTAATGTATGGTGATTAACATAACAATAAAAATTAAAAAAAGTGCTTTGTAAATGACAAAACTGTTATCATTTACATCATTAACATTGATGTTATTTCATAAGTATGTGGGAAAATGTCTTTAGCATAAACTTAAAATTTCACCATGATGAAATTTAATAAGAAATGATAAAGCTGACTTATGTATTTATGTGTGTGTATGTGCATTGTGAGAATGTATAATTAGATGTAGTAAGTCTGGAATATTTATGCAAAATATGAAGCCTAAAGCATTTTTCTCAGGACTGGGATTTGATTATTCCCTGCTTACAATCTAGTAAATTAAGCCTGATTCTTTTTCATAGATGTTTCCAGAAGACATGAAACTCCTTGGTCAGAAACAAAGAATTCTGTCATTCATGGCATAGTAAGTAAGATGATTATCATCATGTTTTTATCATTTCCTCTTGCCCCCCCAAATCCCATGTGGAAAGCCTTGACATATGCCCCCATACACAGAGGGCTGTGTTCTAAAAGAGGAACAGTGAGCCGAAGAAACCTACTGTTTTATAGCAAACAGGAAATATGTAAACCTTCGTTCTTTGGGGAGATGTTGCCCCTCAATTACTTGTTATAAGTACAACCCTGAGAAATGGCCCAGGTAATGAGTTGCCAGGGCATTGAGTTGTGGTACTTAGAAGCACATGCAGGAATATTAGAGACACATAGAGAAATGTCTCCCAACATTTTTTTTCTCATATCCTTTTGTATTTTCTTGTTAAGAAAAGTAATGTTGGCCTCTAAGTAATATGGTCTTTACCATAATTCTGGACTTTGCTTTAGTATTTTAAACCTAGACTTAATATAAAAATGACTTCATTTCAGCCAAATTAGGTTGTGTCCACTAACTTTTACTTAATGCCTACTCTGTGTCTGTCAGGGGGTTGGATGCTTTGTTACATAAGAGATCATTCAGTTCCTAAGAAAGCATTCCAATAAAAAGGCTTTCAAAAATAGTATTTCAAACAGCACTGTCTGAGAAGAGCAAGGCGAAAAGGAAGCTATTGTCTAGCAGTGATCAATTTCAGATAGTTTCAGAATGCCTCTGGTGATACCATTCTCACTATCTCATAATGTTTTGCAAGTTGTTAGGAAGAGGACATTAAATCATTTGATCAGTAGAGCTGTTATCTTCCCTATAACTCATGTAAATCCACTATGTATAGGAAATAATAGTTTAATCACTCTGATGTCATTCTTATAGATAAAGCTCAGCTGCTTTCTTTACAGTTATATTACAGATATTTCAGAATCTGTTTATTTGCACCAAGCAAAAATGTCAAAAATGTACAACTTCTAAGGGAAGGTTTATGCATGTGCATGGTAACACACACACACACACACACACAGATTGACTTATTCCCTTCTCTGTCATCCTTGTAACCATCATCCTCCTAGCAGAAGCTACCAACTGCAATAATCAACAAATTATTCTACAGTTTTCACTCTGGTTACTCCATTCTGTTATCCATTATCAAAATCTTAGGCAGAGTTGATCTTTAAAATGTAAAATGGCTAAAACCATCCAATTTCCTTAGCAATATCGATCGACCCATAGGTTTTCTAGATTAGGAATCTAAGAACTATGACCCATGAGCTACATAAATTTACAATGTTATTTATAAATAAAATTTTATTGGAATATAGCCTTAATGCTCATTTATATATTGTCTGTGGCTGATACTGCACTACAGTGACAGAGTTGAATGGTTGCAACAGGACTTTATGACCTGTAAAATGCAAACAAATAAGAATTTTGTCTTGCCTGAATTTGTTTTTTATTGTGGCATAACTGACTACTATAACGTTATCAGCTTAAAACAACAAAAATGTATTACCTGCTACTTCTACTCCCCATACCAGTGTACACCTCTGAACATGTAGAACAGTGTTCGGTGAAATGTGAAATGTGAAACTTAAACTCCAACAGAAAGTTCAATTAAATACTTGAAGCCACATGTTTGAAAGTCAAGGAAGGTGATATTGCCCGTATCTCTTTCTGATTTTGTTTAGCTATTTTATTCCATTACTACAGTGAAAACGGTGTGATTTAAATTTTTGATTCCTAGAAGAAAGACCATGTAGTAATAATGGGTAAAGATTCAAATACATACATAGCCAAAGAATGTATACAAAAGCAAATATGAACATGAAAAGATGGTCAAGATTAATAGTAGTTAGGAAATTGGAAATTAAAACCATAGTGAGCTACCTACCACTCTATATCTACTACTATAGCAAAACCCAAAGAGCAGAGGTATCAGGAATTATTATTACAGAGCAGTAGTTGCCTGGAGTGAAGAGTCAGTGGTGAGACTTGGGTACAAAGAAACAGCAAGGAACTTTTTGGGATAATGAAAATGTTCTAAGTCTTGATTATGGTGCTTATTTCAGGACTACACTCATTTGTCAAAATCCATCCAACTGGACATTTTAATTGTACATGTAAATTAGGGAATTTTGTTGTCTGGAATTTATAATTAAAGATGTTTAAAAATGTGTATGGCTCATGCTGTCCTCGATTTTACTATAGAATTTTTATTTGAAAAATGTATTTTCTTTTCCAAAGAAGCCATCAAGTACATAGCGCTTGCACACACATACACACCAATACACGCACACACATGCTTACAGACATAGGTAGCTGTGAGCAGCTAGACTGACACAACTGGGAGATTATGGACTTGTATATATCAGGGGGAACCAAATCCACATGCAAGGTAAGATATAAGAGATAAACAAACTAAAATAGACAAGAAATATCACCTGTGGAGAGGAGAATTGAGGAGGCAACCAACCAGTAAAAAGAGAATTCTGTGTGTGTGTGTATGTGTGTATGTGTGAAAGAGAGTGGGTGAGAAGGATGCCACAGTATGTGATTTTGTACTTTTGACACTTCACTCAAACATTCCCTATTTGTACAAACTCATATATATTTTTTCCTTACAAATAAATAGACTTGATTAAAATGTAATGAAATGAAGGAGAAGTTGAATACTGAATTTTAAAATGGTGAGAAAAATCACATGTATGAATATACATAGGTGCCTCAGAGTGTGATATCTTGGGAAAATGGACAGAATTTGGTATGGCTAAGTGTTCATTAAGCCATAACCATCTTTGTAGTCCTAGCATGAACCAGTGCTGTTCTGAGTGTATTTTTATATTTTCATACAGTTAATCTTCCCAGAAATATTTAGATGAAGATGGTAGTGCTTCCTGTGGGTTGTACGAAACTCTCCTCTTTCCATCTTATATTTAGAGGTAGTATTGGAATAAGACACAGGAGAACTGGAGATGGATATAAAAATATCACTTTAGCAAACCATAAGTTAATTGCAGAATATGCAGAAGTTTTTATTAACTATATATAAAAGTCACCCCCCTCTCAAGTTTATACTTTGAGAAGCCCACTGGAGAGAAATTTGGGGTTTATCAAGCAAATCGTTGTCCCAAGAAATCTGTCTTGCACTGCAGAAAAACAAGAGAAAGGTGTTTATAATTCCAGCAGTCTTTAGATTAGCACACACACAAAAAATAAACATAACCCACAATGAGATCATTCAGTCTGACTCTCTGCTGCTTTTTTACACAATTGAAATATTCCTAATTTTCCCATTTTACAGATGAGAAATCTGTACATTGATGCAGATGAGATACAGAGAGTTACATAAGATGTCCAAGGTCTCAAAATTTGGGGGGATATATTTGGATACTCACTGATCTATTTCAGTATTATACACATTATGCTATGCCATTTTGCTACTTCGTTTCTTATTGTATTTTATTTGGAGATTGTATTCTCAAAAGATAGGGCCTGATTATAAATATCTAGAATGCCATACAGTTAAGTTTGCATGCTGAAACTAATGGGAAGCAAGAAATATTTTTTTGTAAGACAAATAACACATTTATTTTCTAGATGGAAAAAATCATACTCAGTAATGCTATATTTTCAAATCCAAACTGCTTTTGTTTCTTTTATTTATTTTTATATTTATTACTGATGTATAATTGATATATGGTACTTTCAGTTTGTTTTATTTTCAGTGTTTTTCTCTTTCTGTGGTTATTATACATTCTTTTTACTTTGGGTGTGTTTTCATTTTCTTGTAGTATTTTTACCTTCTCTTGCTTCTCAAGCATATATGGAAAATAGGTGAATAATTGTGTAAATAGGAAAAGTGAATATTTTAAAGTTCTTCACCAGTTTTTCTCAACATCTTGTGAGATCTTTAGCCACACTATGTGTAAGTGGGTCAGAGATAAAGAAGTTAATCTCTGACCTCTGAGTTGATAAATAAGGCATGTACTGTTCTAGGAACTTGAGTGGTAGAGATAAGAGGCTGTATATATGTGTATATCACATACAAATACATATATGCACACATACATACTTATTTATTTCTCCCCTTGGCCCCACAATACTGAATCTTTTTTTCAATTCTGAATCTTAGCCAAGTTCCTCAACTCTGCTACATATCTTTCACTGAAAAATAAATGTCATGCTGAATTCTCTAATATTCTGTTTCTGTAAGGGGATTAATTTAATGTTAAATACATCTTGTTTGACTGTATTTCCAATACCAAAAGAGATGAGCACCATCTAGAAAAGCTTAGCAATTAGCTAGGCCGAGTACTTTATTATTCAGATGATGAAACAGAGCCCTCTTTCTTACTAGACCCCAACCTTGGATCCTGTCCTTGGTTCACTTACTCCGGTTTCACAAAAATCCCCCACCCTTTGTCTGACCTGCTCTCAGCAAAAACTCTGTTAGAGCAGTTTCACCAAGAATTACCCTACCTCTTAGTAATTTTCCATCTTCCTGCCCAACCCCCCGCAGCTTGACTGTAAATAAATGCCCATTTTTCCTTATTGTATCCAGAACTGAACTCATCTTCCCTACACCTAGCCCCATTGTACTAGCTCCCTCTTCATTAAAGTCTTCCTTACTATCTTTAACAAATGTCATGAATAAATTTTTAATAGAAGACATGAAGTCAAATCTCATGTCCCATTTAGGCCTTTTAAAAAATTCTTATCTTTTGACAATAACTTTATTTTACTGACTTTTTTATGATCAGATGTTGTTTTCTTTTTCTCCTTTTTTTTTTTTTTTGAATTCTGGAATTTTATACAGAAATTTTACAGAATTTGACCCAGAAAAATCTAAGTCGTCTTCTCTAGAGAACAGGCCTATGCATAAGCTTGGGGCTCTTAGGCCAATTATATAATATCTCTAAACCTCATTTTACTGGTTTACGGTAGTAAAAATAATGTGAACCCCAAAGAGCTCTTGTGACCAGTATAAAAGGTGTCAGGTATATGCTAAGATAGGAAACACTAGTATTTAATAACAATTGGTT